AATGGTGGAGGAAACTAACCGTAAATGTGAAGGTAGAGACCTCAAACGAGGTCGTTGCATTGTAATTGCAGCTGGGCACGGCCGTGTAGAGCATACATATGAACGACTGCCATTGATTCCGGCTAAGGGAATCGCCTACAAACATTATAGTCTTCCCTTTGTGTTGCCTTAATAATTGAACTCCATCAAATCTATTACACACATTTTTATAAAAATAATAATTTAAAAAAGAAACATTTTATAATCTTAAGACATTGTCAATACTAATAATTAAATCATCTTCTTCTCATGAGTTAAAAACAAAACAGTAAAAAATCAAGCAAATGAAACCATACTGTTGTGAAAAGATGACAATATGGCATGTGAATTAAAAACGAGAAAGTAAACAACATATGTGTGGTTCGGCAATGTGACTACATTCACGGCGGCAGAGCGATATCCTTTTTCTTATGAATATCTCAATACATCAATACACCATGTATTTATATTATAATCCTGTTGGGTTGGGTCGGCCTCATGACATACTCATTAATCAATTAGAGGTCCCATTTTGTGAGGTGACCCATCATTGAAATTTCATTTCATTCACCACCTAATTATTCATCACTTTTGGAGAATATTTATATCATAATATCAACTAGGCCTTGAGTCCCTATTTGTTCTTTTGCTTTTTCTTTCATACACCTACATTTATCACAAAATTAATTTTGTGTGATACGACCCAACTATTAGGCGAGTCGATTTTCATATTTTTTTTTAGTAAAAATATGCTACAAAATATTTATAATTTTTTTTTTTTTTAATTTTATAGAATATAGATTTTACTTTTGAAAGTATACATCATTGTGAAAATACATATAACTTTGTAATACAATTTTACCGTAAATTTATCTGAATTGTTGCTAAAATATCGGTATTAAATTTCGAACTCCAGCAGATGACAAGTCACACAAAAATGAATAAAAAAATCATATTTTAATCAAAACAAATATTTTGACTAATAATAATAATTAATGTTAAATTCAAGGATATTTAGAGACATAATAATATTTGTAATATTAATATTACTAATAACTAGGCACATTAATAAAACAATTACAGCAACAAATACAGTGGGATCAGCATTAAGACATGAATCCCCGTGAATTAATGTTTTATCATAATTTACTGAAAACAAGTAGGAATCTATGTCAGGCTCCCAAATAATTTTATATAAACTTGTTAAAATACAACTCATATAAAGAGAGGAACAAATATTAATTGAAAAATATTTTAAATTAAACTAGAAATGTATTATTTAATTTCTTAATTAAACTTAACTTTGAAACGAAAGATCTAATAGTAAGAATTATTAAATAGTCACGTTTTGTCAGTTAAAAAATATGATAATTTACAATAGGCTTAATTGCACATAAAATTTTCACCTTTTGTGTAATTGCAAATAAAACTCAACTTTTTTATCTTTGCAAATAAATACCAAACTATTATCGTGTGTTGCAAATTTGTCTCAAAACCACTTTTCGACCAATTTTGCTAACGTGTCTGATCAGAACACTAAAATCGTCTAAAAATCACTCGAAAAACGCTCTCTCTGCCCGATCTTTTAGAATTTAGGGGTGAGCTGGTAAATGAACTGAGAATGTTGTGGTGAACTCAATTTTTGATTGGCTCAAGTTACCAAGTAGTAAGTAACAATACACATAAAAAAAGTCATGAGATTTCTGGCGCAGGTCTGGAATTGACAACTGTGAATTGACCAATTGCCAGTGCTAAACTCACGGGGCCAAATAAAAAGCATACATTAAATAGAATAGTTTTCAACTTTCACCACGCAATTTTTAATTGCACTTTAGTATGTAACTTTTTTTTTTCACATATTTACTCCAACAATTAGTCAAATTTATTTATTTTTTATAAATATTGAATAAATAGTATATTCACAAATGCTCAAATTGTATTTGCAAACATATTGCTTACGATTTTGAGTTTGTTAAATAAGTAGGGTCGAGTAGAGCTCGGTTTAGACGTTCGAGTTCGAGCTACAATTTTGAATCGTTTATTAAACCAGTCGAGCCCCCGGCTCATTTATTGAACTAATTCCACCCACTTTTTTACACATCATGATTCAATAAACATTATTAAACAAAATTAAATGTTATGTTACACTTCAAAAAAGGAAAAGTGAAGAATGCAATTGAGTAAAACAAATAAAATAAAATGAGGCAAGAAAAAATAATTAAAAAAATATGTGACAAGCAAAAAAAAAAAATATATAAAATAAAAAATAAAGCTAGCTATTTTACTGATTAATCCAATAGATTTAAATTAAGACGGGGAAAGCAAGAATGTGAGGTGGTACCTTGATAAGTTGCAGGCATGGGGCTGCCACCTGTACCGAAGGTACAAGTCGTCGGAGCGACCGTTTTTCCGGCAGTTGAACTCTTTCTGGATGAAGGGACAGGATGAGGAGTCGTAGGGAGGGTTCAGTGAGGCGTCGCGCACCCAATTCCCCTGGAACAAATCGCAGGTGATCCCTTTCTCCGCATCTGATTGGTGGATGAGAGAGTGAAGGCTTACAATAGCCAATGCCACTGCCCACACTCTCATCTCTCTCTTCTCTCTCTTCTCTCTCTCTCAAGAAAAAAGTGGCCTTTTATTTATTTATATTTTTTTTTTTGGTACAGGGACTTTCCGGTTTCCGGATCCACAGGGGAACCGACTAATCCGGAATCGAGTCGAACAGGGTATTTATTTATATTTTTGTCTCTCTCTATTTAAAAGTGTTTTTTGTGTATAATATATGGTAAGGTGATGAGAATTATATGGGAACAATATATATATAGGTTTTAAAATCACTATGCAATATTGAGGGAAATTCCATACAATCGATTTTTTTGTCATTGAATCTCACACTTATGAGTTGGGCTCTAGGCCCGGCCCGGCCCACCAATCTCATGTGTCGGCTGACCAAACGATTAGACGATCGTACTTTTTTAAAAAATATGCACACTTTCAAACTGAATTGTAATAATCTTGAACAATATAAACAAAAAATAAGACATTCCACAACATAAATATGATGGTCGACCGGTCAACGGTTAGACCACTTCATACAATAATTTATGATATTTTTTTTTCAAATATATAGTGATTTTTTTTTTTTTTAATATTTGAGTAATACATTTATAAAGATTGTGCTAGATTAAAACAGAAAGACATGATACACGAATATGTTGTGAAGATGAAATTTCGTGTGGTAGTTGATTGAAACTATAAAACGAAACTAAATGGTGTTTTTCCAAATAATAAATAAAATATCTCGTTCATAGGAAAGAAAAGAAGGCCAAATTTTGGTAGTGTTACAATCCCACACTTCTCTACTTCCTCACTTGATAACATTTAGGTGAATATGTGATGTTGATAACTCAAAAAGCGGTTTATCTCTATATATATTGAAATGAAAGAGACTGATGGGGCGTTTTTCAGGTCTGCTACTTGCATGGGATTTGGGGTTTCGAAAGATACTTGTTGAAGTGGACAATTAAAGTGTCCTGTCCATGGCGAATGAGGATTAATGGAGAAGCTTGGAATTCATGGAAGTTTGGTCCGGGCCATTCGTAACCAGGCATGGGTGACTAGAGTGATTTATTGCTATAGAGAGGCGAACTTTGCGGTTGATTGTTTGGCGTCCGTAGCGCATCAATGGTCGAGTGGTTGTCAGCGTTTATCAGACCCACCTTCAATGGTTACCCCGTGGTTACAGCATGATTTTATTGGAGTTGCTTACCCGCGGAGCATAACTGTCAAAGGACCCTAGGCTTTTGCCTCCTTCCTTTGTACTAAAAAAAAGAGGTTGATGAAATAATCTGAAATAGTAAGTTTGACTTTGTAATTAAATATGTTGACTTACTATTAAAAAAATATAGTAACAATTAATTTAATATTTATAAAAAATGAATCAAAATTATACCTACATAGTGTAAATCGAGCAATCGGTTAATAACACGACTTTCTATATAGATAAAGTGGTATAAATTTTAAAGATTATTTTGTGATAATTATCGCAATAAAAATCCAATTCTCCATACAAATTATGAATTACTGCAACTTTTTTATTCTTTTTATCATTAGTAATAAATCTATATTTATTCTTAATTACAAACCCCTCTAATTTTTTATTCATTTGATAATGAGTCATACACGAAAAACTCATATATTCAAAGATTTTAAAAATATCATTTGATTTTTTTTAATAATTGCATCAAACCAGTTTCATAAAAATTCATATTGCAATTGATTACAATATCATAACAAAACTCATATAAATTGATAGCTTGGAAAAAAATTAAAATATTTGTAATTTACATTATTATAGTTATAAGAAAAAATAAAATAATATTGACGTAATTAAAAATTAATAAATTTTTAACTTCAAAAATATATATTACAATATTTTTCATTTAAGTGTCGAGTATATTGCTACAAATTTTCAATTTTAGCATAACTTATTTAAAATTTAAAATAATATATTATAATAAGATACCTTATAGAGTTCAAATTCTAACATAATTCAACCAATTTTTTTTTTACAAGGTACCTTAGATCAAACATTAAGAGAAAAATGGGAGGAAATACAACATGTTACTTGTTTAATTACACATTCAGCAACAGAGTAATCTTTTCTTCTTTTTCTTCTTCCGCAGTTCCACTGCTGCATTGTCTAAGGAAGTAAACAAAGAAAAAAAAAATGGAAAAGAAATTAAAAATCAATGTACAAAAAATCCCAACAAGATCAAGAAGAATCAAAATATTACACACAAAAAAAAAAATAATAATGTTGCAAGAAAAAAAGAAGTCATTACTGATCTCTCTTTTCCCAGTAATCAGTATCCACAGTGATCGGGTAAAGGTCGGCCGCCGTTGATGCTGACGAGCCTGTCCACGGCACGTCAATCGATACATTTCTCGTCTCGATCTCCTCACGATTTTTCTCTGTCTCGTCTGTTGTTACAATGGGAGTCGAAAAAGGTTCTTGGTTGACCGTCTTGCCCTCGAGAATGCTTACAACCGACGACATGTTGGGCCTTTCTGCAGCCTCGGCATGCGTGCAAAGGAGGGCCAAGTGGATAACGGTCATTGCCTCTTGTTCGTTGAAGTTCGATTCTAATCTAGAATCGACTAGTTGGATTAGGTTGCCTTGTTCCTTCAGTTTATTAGCCTGAGATGATCGAAAGAAACGAGAATAAAAGTTTATATTCCTCCGACTAAAGCTGCTAACGAATCGAGCCGCTCAAGTCAAAGCTCGGATCGAGCATAGGTTTTCGATGGTCGAGCGGCTCGAGATAAGTAGTGAATTACTAAAATACTCCTTAAATATAAATATTACAATATTTCATATATATACTTAATCGTAATTTTACTTGAAATTTGAGTAGAACTCGAGCAATCTTTCGAGCATTTTGATTTCAATCGATATCGAGCGATTATCTTCTTTTGTCGAGTCGATCTCGAGTGTCATAAATCATCGAGCTCGAGGAGGTAAAAAAAAATAATCTTGCTCGGTAAGACTAATGCTTGACTCAACTCGAGATATGTAGCGAATTACTAGAATACCCCTTATATATAAATATTACAATATTTTATATATGTAATGATAATTTTACTTGTCGAACTCGAGTCGAGCTCGAGCAATCTTTCGAGCATTTTGATTTCAATCGATCTCAAGCAGATCTCGAGCGATTTATCTTTGTTGTCGAGTCGATCTCGAGAATCATAAATCGAGCTCGAGTTGGTATAAGAAAAAGAAAAGTCAATCTTGTTGGATAAAGCCAATGCTCGACTCGACTCTGTTCGTTTGCAGCCCCTGCTTTCGATTCTCGGGACATATTGTCAAAGACATTAAAGAAGGCAAGGGTGAAAACTACAAAATGAATAGTTAATTCGTTACCCAGTCGAGAAGATAGAAGGTATCGGCCTTGTATTTGTTGTTCGTATTACTGCTCCCACTCACGACTTCTAAAAGAACAACTCCGAAGCTGTACACATCTGCTTTGTCCGTTAAATGGCCTCGCATTGCATATTCGGGAGCCATATATCCACTGCATAATTCATAAATAAGTAAAACATATATATATAAAAAAAAGACATGGTCTCGATAAACGAATAGATTTTTATAAGTATTTAATGGTATATATACTCACAAAGTCCCGGCGATTCGTGTGCTTATATGGGTATTATCCTCCTCGTCGAGCTTGGCAAGACCGAAATCGGATATTTTCGGCACAAGATTTTTATCAAGAAGCACGTTTGTGGCTTTGATGTCACGGTGTACGATTTTCAGTCGGGACTCTTCATGCAGATAAGCTAAACCTCTAGCTATACCGATGCAAATTTTGTGCCTCGTAGGCCAATCCAAATGCAATTGATGCTCCTCTTGACCTAAGAAAAACCATTTATTTTAGTACATAATCAATCCAAATGCACTTGATGCTCCATTGTTTTCCAAAATTACAAGCTCTACTACATTGCAATTACGGTTATTTTTCTTTTTTCACTTTTGCTTCAACTTACTGAATAATGCACGAGCAAGGCTATTGTTTTCCATGTACTCGTAAACAAGAAGCAACTGATTTCCTTCTATGCAGCATCCGTATAGCTTCACGAGATGAGGGTGATGTAGAGCAGTAATCATCCCTATCTCGTTTACAAACTCGCGATTACCTTGCTTCGATTTCGAAGAAAGCTGCTTCACAGCGATTATGGTACCATCCGATAGTTTTCCCTTCCAAAAAATAAAAATGAAAGAGAGAACTTACAAACTGGCATTAAAAATAGTTTATATAGTGAGAAAAATCATGTTACGTTTTTTTTTTTTTACCTTGTATACAGGCCCAAAGCCACCTTCACCAATCTTGTTAGCGAGATCGAAATTGTTAGTGGCAGCTTTGATTTGCCGTAGCGAAAACGAGCCTTCTAAACCCTTTAGATCTGCGAGTGTAAATTGTTTCTTTAAGTTTCTCCATAAAAACTGATTCGTACAACATCCTTCGGCTGTGTTTGGTAACTAAATAAACTAGCTTATAACTTAGTTAGTTAATTTATAAGCTTCTTGTATTTAAATAAACTTCGTTAAGTAGAACGAGTTTTTTTTTAAAAAGCTCGAGCTTATCTCATAAGCTTGTTTGGGTAGCTTTTCAAATAAACTCCTTGAATTTTTTATTTCAGCTAGCTTATCAGCTAATTATACCAAACACTTCTATCATATAAGCTACATTTTCGAAAGTATTTTTATCATACAGTAATTTATTTTTATCATTTGTTTTTAAATTGTAGTATTTTTTTGTTAAAACTCGTTTATGAATAATTTATTTATAATTTTATTTTGAATGTTATATTTAAAAAAATAAATTGTGCACCAAATTAAACATTGGTTTTCAAGAAATTTGGCCTAAAACATTTTATATCTAATAGATATTAGATAGATATTTTATTACCAATCCTAGGAAAAAATGTTATAAAATTAACTTTACTAAAAATTGTTTATAACTGTCTCCTGTGCCATTATCTCGTACGAGATTCTGATAACTCTGTGCTTGTAATTTTTTTTTGGAAATTGCAAACACACTCAACGGGTAGCGCTACCTGCAAAGAGCTCTATTGCGAGTCTAAGGTGTGAGATAGCATTGTCCTTCACAAACATACACATAGACACACACTACACACACCGTTTTTCCTCATACCTTTGAGAGTGAGTTATTTTTTTACAATTTTTTTTTTTAAATACACACTTACGAACAAGATTCACATTTTTTTTTACATTTTCTTTGTTGTTCTAAAAACAAAAAACCTGCTTTTTTCTTTTCTTTTTTTAACATTTATTTTTTATCTAAAAACATGAACACCTGTTTTTTTTTTTTGGAACAAATTTTGGCTCTAAAACCCCCACTGCTTCACTTTTTTTTTTCTTTTTTTTATTGTTCTAAAACTGGAACTTTGTTTTGCAGAATGGACTTCACGTGGAGAACCAGTGGTCATCTCCCACCTCATTGGGATCAAGGACGGGGATGTATTTTCATATGAGTTTTCTTAGTTATTAATTATTTCTTTCTAATTAATTATTTCTTTCTTTTTGCAGTTTACTGTGTATTGGTAGCCTCAATCTATTATATAGAATACAAACTAAGGAGGGTAAATGATGTCTGTAGAGTTTCCTTAAAAAATGCATTAGATGCACTGAGAAGATGACGGAAGAGTAAAGATTGTAATACGACATTTGTAGAGTGGCTAGGGGAAGTTGGAATTGCCTTTGAGGAAAATTACCCTAAGGGACAGGACATCAAGAACTTTTCAAGTTTGGCGGGGACAGGACTCCAAGTGGTAAAATAATTGTTTGGAGAGGTGACACTCGATACTAAGCCTACTGATAACGGTGAGCCGTTCGCCCTTGAGAATAAGTTGAGAGCTGAGCT